TATATATATATATATATATATATTCTACTTTTATTACATAGCTTGAACGAAATATACGAGTATGTTCTTTTCATTAACATAGAGTTTATTTTTATAAATAATTTATTAATATGATTATTTTATATTATTTAATTTTTCATGGGTATAAGTTAATTTTAATCGATATTAGATTAATCTAAATATAACTATGTGACAGAAAGTCAAATTCAAATTAATGTAGCTTTTTTTTTTAATATTTTAATATGACCATGTAAATTAACTAGTAAAATTTACAAACACAAATTATTTTTTAATAAAATTTTGTTTTTCAAATTCAACTAATTTAACTATTTATTAATGATGATATTCATTAGAAGTTATTTGTATTTCAACTTATTTACCACCAATAAAAATGTTTATATTTTTAAGAAAATTAATTGACATTAGAATATTTTTCTTACAATTTTTATTTTAATTAAAAATGTATTATATGTCTTATATTATATTTATTTAAACTATTTATTATATGATAAATTATCAATAAAAATTGGCCAGTTAAAATGCTTTTCACACATGAGGTGACCCAAAAACTTGTGATTTTATATTTGTTCAAGAGGAATAATATCATTACAAAATTCTAAATTTGAATGTTCAACTGAGCGAGAGCAATCACATGTTAATTATAATTGGTCTTAACAATAAAATATATCAAATTAACAAAGCTTGAATATTCACACAAACTGCTTTCAAAATTTGCAATTTGTGAAAATCAGGAAATGGATAAAAACAATTGGCTTAACCAAAGGGAGATGGAGAGTGGGCAGGAGTTTGTTGTAAAAGCCTGGATTTTTATCTTGAAATGCAGTTTAATTTCAAGGGAGGCTAATGGTTGAATTAACAAGTCCAACATTAATATGTTCAAAACACAAATTTCAATCATTCAATTACATTAAACCTCTTTTACCACAAACCATAGGAAGATTAATATGCACCCATAAAAGAAAATTATAAAAAGAAATGTCACCTCTCATGAAGACAGATAAGAAAAAAAAAGGAGAAACAAACATGAATAAACATTGATTACAAAATGAGAGACCAAACCCTGACCACTTGGTTGATCTCATGCAACATATGGACAATGTTGAAAAAGTTCATTTAAGGAACCTCATGAATATTTACCAACTGTGTTAACCTTGTTAATTGATTTCCTGCATAACTATTCTAGGGTCATATATATATCATAGCCCATATATCTTCCTTTTCTAGTTTCCTAACAATTAATTTCTTTTTATCAACATTTATTTTATTATTAAACCATTTTTTTACCTCATTATTTGAACCTGAATTATATTGAGCTTATCTACTAAATTTTATAATAGTAGATTCCTACAAAATTTAAGTAGAATGAAAATGGAGGACCTTAGAATCACCTGCATAACATAACCAAATTGGATCCTCTTCAACAGAAAAATATAGACGGAGAAAGGAAAGAATAGAAGATAGTATGAAATTGGAATAACGAAGAAGAGATAGAGAAGTTGGCGAGAAGATTAGAGAATGATGTTGCTGGAGAGGATTTGCATCCATAACATAGTTTTATTTTTGTATTAGAGAAAAACTTGTTATCTTTCAATGGATGAAATTGGATTTAATTATACTACCATCCCGGTAATTCATTGAAATAAGAAAAATACAATAAACTCAAAGGAAATAATAATTCTCCCTCCCTCAAAATTCTCCCTCCCTCATATTCTCCTTCTCACTTCCTCCCCTCGATTTAAAATATTAAACTACTCGATGCAAAAAAGGAAAAGATATTTGTGGTAAAAAAAAATTGGTCAGAGAGTGACTTCATGTTAAGTGAAATAAAATTGTCAAGTGGTAAGTAAATTTGTGTGGTGTAACTCTATAGAAGAAAACATGTACGACTAGTAATAACTCTCAAGAAAAACGTTATAGAAATATCCTTCTCTCTATTTTTCTAAGTAAATTTGGCCTCTTTCTGTTGCTGACCCTTTCTCTCGTTCACGCATTATTGCCATCATCCTCTCATCTCCACTTAGCCAAACATTGAAAATCTAACAAAGAGAACAACTTCAAACTTTTGACCGCCGATGGTCTCTTGTGGTAACTAATTGAGTGTTGAAACAATGTTTCTATACGATGATTTAGAAGAAGACAAGAATGAAGATATGCAATAAATTAAAGAGGTGAGTTCCAATCTCGAACATGCTTTTATGAATGTATCCATGATTTTTATAAACAATTATTTGTTTGTCATCTCTATATATTATTAGTATCAATAAGTTTTACATTGTCATATAATATCACACCATCCGAAGAGAATTCGTGATCATAATTTTATGAAATGGTGTGTGATGACATCATTAAGTACTAGTCCTTTATTTTTCTTTTCAACTTTATGTCAGAACACTATCTTCACTTAAAATACTAATTTATTGGGTATATTTAGCAGCAAAGACAGGAATTCTTCTGATGATCATTTCTTCTCATACACATGAATCCTTAAATCAATTTCTTCTAATTTCACACTACTTGAAAGTATTTGGAAGAACTTTTATGTATAAAATTCATTTGAATATGAAAATAAGTTATCATCTTTCTATAATTTCTTTTAACTTATAAAATCGTAAGGGGGATTTTTTTTCATAAGCAAATGAAATTAAATTAAAAAGGAGTTCAAGAGATCCTCCAATCCATACAAACACAAATTCGAATTACAAAAAAAATAAGAGTAAACTGTCAACAATTATTACACTAAAATCATATCTAATTTAAAAAAATTGAAAATGCAACAACAAACAAATTACAATAAATACCCAATTACACTTATATATCACCAAAATATAAATTTCAATTGTCTAGTAGCAGAATAGGACACCATATATTGAGAAAGATTAAAACTAGTCATAAGTAATTAAGAGAGATGTAACATTCATAATATCTATTAATTATGTAATGTCAATGGAATAGGCTAAATTAATGAAGTTAGGTTTTATGAGATCATTTCAACTCCTTTGCTAGAAAAGTATATAAGAAAAAAAAGTAGTCTTACTTAGAATTTAGAAGCAAGACCAACACAAATAGATGTTTTAAATAGTGTCATTTTTTATTGGTGGTATACGAGGAAATACAATTTAAGGACAATTGATTTGAATTTACTAGTGTTTGGTAGAAATATTCTAGTTTTAGCTTGATTATGGACTTCTTCTAATAGCTGTTAAACTAAAATTTTAAGCCTGATTGTAACATTTGCACCTATAACAGATCAATACTCTCAATTTATACTTTCACTTAGCCATTAAAGCATGTTTAGATAAAAGTTAAAAATGTTATTTTAATTGAAAAAAAGCTATTTATTTATCCCTGGATTACTGTGTGAGCTAACTGCCGCTCATACTTAAAAAAAAAATGATATATTCCTCATGTTATAAACACTTAGACATTTTTTCAGCTACTATATTTCCATTAATGGGGTGAACTAAGGAGACAGAAAGGCATTGCTGAAATCAAAGGGGATATGTGCAGCACATAATTTCCAATAGTTTAGTTCAGTTGGTGCAATTTCATAGTGGCAGAATGCGTCCTGATTTTACGACAGTAACTGTTGACGGAGTACAGACGGATGTGCACCAAGTAGTTCCACCACCCTACAAGAGCACCTTCCAGAAGTTTTGCACCAAGCTCAAGGAAACTTTTTTCCCTGATGATCCTCTACGCCAATTTAAGGGACAACCTCTTAAGACACAACTAATCCTCGGAGCTAAATATGTGTTCCCTATCTTTCAATGGGCTCCTAATTACAACCTCAGACTCTTTAAATCTGACCTTATTTCTGGTCTCACAATTGCTAGTTTGGCCATCCCCCAGGTGAGTTATAAAACCATTTGTGATTAAAAATGCTGTACACAAGTGTAATTATAACATAATCACATAAATTCCAAAAATCTTTGACATAGTGATCACAATTTTGGTCACAGTTACGTTTACAATATCATATTTTCTTAGCAAAATTGAAATTTTACATAAATAATACATGTTAATATTTAATGAGTTTTTTTTTTGTTAAATATATTATTGAAGTGAAATTTATTTATTAAAAACCAGTATCAACAACAACTATGATATTACATGTAAGTTTTATCTAAAGAGATTTTGTGGATAAATGTCATTAATACAACTGTCATAATTAATAAATCTCAAAAACTTTGAAGACATTGTGACTTCAATTACTATTGTGGAACATTTTTAAAATGTCACATCAAGTTCAATGTGTTTCTTGGCTAGGAAAAATGACTAATTCCCATCTCCACGTGCTTTTTTTCTTCAATTATGTGTTGTGTGATTCAGGGAATCAGTTATGCAAAGCTTGCAAATCTTCCTGCAATTCAGGGACTCTGTGAGTATGTTGATTTTGCCTGGCCACTTAGTTTTAGTTCAGAAATCACAAACCATGCTAACTCGTGTTATTCTCATAATTTTCAGATTCTAGTTTTGTTCCCCCTCTTGTGTACGTTGTTCTTGGAAGTTCAATGGACCTTGCAGTAGGACCTGTTTCTATTGCTTCCCTAGTACTAGGATCCATGCTCGCAGAGAAAGTGTCTCCCACTGCGCAACCTGATCTATACCTTCAGTTAGCTTTAACTTCGACATTATTTGCTGGGATCTTTCAATCCGCTCTTGGAATTCTAAGGTAATAACTTCAACTAGATTCAAGGAAGTATAGCTAAGTTTTGTTCTTTTCAATAGTTCTTTAAGTGCAATTATTGTTGATTTCTTATCAGAATTGAAGTTTTATTTTGATAATATACGTAAATATATATTAATAAGATATGTATAACATGTATGTGTATATTGTCAAATTAAAACTTGAATTTTGATTGAACAACAATTATCCCACTTAAGGCACTGAGGCTAAGTTTGTTCTTTTGAACAAGAAAAAGACAACAGAAAAAAGGGTCTCATCATTCATGTGAGGTATAAGGTAAAGTCTTCAATGATTGCAGATTAGGATTTATCATTGATTTTCTATCAAAGGCAATTCTTCTGGGGTTCATGGCTGGATCAGCTATAATTGTAGCTCTGCAACAACTCAAGAGCCTTCTCGGAATCAAACATTTCACTAAAAAGATGGCCCTCATTCCTGTTTTGACTTCTGTTTTTAAGAACACTAACGAGGTTGCTACTAATTTTTTATTCCCTTCCATCTTTATCTCAATATACTATACTTTATCATTAAAATAATTATTGTATTTAACATGATGCATACAACAAAACGTTTATATAAAAAAAAATATATTAATGAGGGTTTTTAATCAGTTGTTGCTATACAAATTTTTATACTGACCCTATGTAGAAACTAAATTCAAATTTTATTTTGAAAAATAATGGGTGTTTTTTTTTTTTTTTTTTTTTTTTTTTTTTTTTTTTTTTGCAGTGGTCATGGCAAACAATATTGATGGGGATTTCCTTCTTGACGTTGCTACTCCTTGCAAGACACATTGTATGTTTTTATTTTCCGTATTTTAGTAATTAAGTTATATCTTATTTTCTTATAGTTTTTTTTAATATGTAATTCAAAGCTTTTATGAAATTATCTTTAAATTTTTTATATATTAAGTATTACCCTCTTTATTTCATATTAAGTGTTATCTTAGATTGTTTTACACATAAAAATAAATAAATAAATAGATAAAAAATAATAATTTTAATACATTAATTTTATAATATATTTTTATTAAATGATGCAACATAACAATTACTTTCTAAATAACATTATCACGATATAGAAGGAAAAGATGTAATGAATACTGGACTAAAAAACTAACTTAACAATTCTTTTTGAATTTACTTTTTCTTCCAACACAACACTCATTACAAGATGGGAAAGAATATTTTGTTTGACTATATAATAATTATAATATAATTAAAGTATTAAATGAGAAATTGACTAAGTCTAAATATTAATATAAAATAATTAAAAACATTAAAATTAAACTATTTTTTATTTCATTTTCTATTCTTTCTTTATTTTCTCTGTCAATTTCCTTCAAATTTTAAAAAATATTATTAAATTATTCAATGAGATGTGGACCAAGACTAGATATTAGTATAAAACAGTTCACATAAAGAATACATTAAAATTAAACAACTTTTATTCTCATTTTCTAAGTCAAATTGTTAAAAAAAAAAATTTACATTATTAAATGGGATGTGAACTAATACTGAATATTAGTACAAAACAATTTACATAAATAACACATTAGAATCAAACTATTTTATTCTCTCTTTATCTTCTTAGTCAAATTCTTACAAATTAAAAAAAAAAGGAAAAATTTTTGCTAGCTACAAGAGAGATATAAAAAAGAAAATATTCAATTGCCAATATTTAATTAAAAAATGAAAAAAGAAAGATAGAAAAAACTGATGATCAAATATTTTAGTGTCAGTGGAAGACATATCCAGTGTAAATATAAAAATAAAATATTATTTACATCTTACTTTTACATTATGTTTTACGTATTTTTATAAAAAAAAATAGAAAAAAGTGAGTTTCCCGTTTATATTTTCATTCATAAAAAGAAGTATAAGTTGTAACAGGAGGTGTAAAAATATTTTTGTCATATAAAAAGCTATGTATAGAGCAATCAATTATTCAACTTTTTTTCTTTTCAAGATTTAATATCATATATAATATAGATTAATAGCTTGATCTTTTCACCACCGTTAACACAATTAGAAATTTAAATGCTAAGCATGATATTTATTTGAGGGAATATTTTATGAAGATTATTTTTTATAAGATTATTTTATATATAACTCCACAATGATGAGATATTATGCGTTTTGAATTTAAGTCTTCACAGTTTTACTATTGATCATCATCCAAAAAAGTTTGTTTTGGACTTAAGTCTTCATGGTTTTGGTTTTGATCATCATCTAAAAAGCTTCTTAATCATTAGAGTATGTTTATGCTTATAAGTTATTATTTCTTTTCTTATTTTATCGTCATGAAACTTATTTACATCCTAATATTAGTGCTTGTTAAAATCTGTGTGACTTGTCCTACCTGGGAGGGATACAAGAAATTTAGTGAGTACTTGACTATAGTAACTTGTTTGGAAAGACTTGAAAGAGTGAAGGTAGTACAGAAGAATTTATTAGGTGATGTTGGAGTACATAGTATTTTACTGGTTGAAGTTTCTGCATGATATCTAATTAAATATTATTAATTTCTTTTAGAGATTGAAAAACGAATATATGTCATATAATGATTGACTGAAACTATAAACAACTAGTAGTTCTGCATTACCTAATAATTTCTTGTAGTATTGAGTATTGATTAATACCAAAATAAACATGTCTAGAGCATAAGGAAACCAAGGCTATTCTGGGTCTCAGCTGGAGCTCCTCTTCTCTCTGTAATAATCTCTACGGTCCTGTCTTATGTAATCAAAGCTGAACGTCATGACATCAGTGTGGTAAGTCTCTCCCTTCCTATGCTTCTCTAATCATTATCAACGCATTAATTACTATCTAAACCAATTTATTGCTACTTGCTGGTATGGTTGATAGATTGGAAAATTGCCACAAGGAGTAAATCCTCCTTCAGCGGATAAGTTATTCATTCATGGAAGTCATCTCCCTCTGGTCATCAAAACTGGCCTTATCACTGGCATTTTATCCCTCACTGTATGATTCACCCTTCTCAGAAACAGTTTTACTATTTCAGATGTGTTATTCATAGTCATACCACACAACATCATTTTTTTTTATCTATCTCTCAATCACATCATTTATTACATTTCATACTTCTCAAAACTTATTGTACAAATAATATCTCTATTATTTATATGACTAAGCTGAGCATAGCTTAAGATTTTTTTTTTCTTCTTGTTGAGCCTTGGCGTTTGGAAACAGGAGGGAATTGCAGTTGGAAGAACATTTGCTACTATCAGAAACTACAAAGTGGATGGAAATAAGGAAATGATTGCAATCGGGTTCATGAATGTGATTGGCTGCACCACATCCTGCTATGTTACAACAGGTTCATGTCCGTAGCCTAAAAGCCTTGTAAACTAATGAAGGCTTAAGTGTGAAGGTGTCAAAAATAATATTAACCCATTTACACGATGAATTACAGGATCTTTCTCTCGCTCAGCTATCAATCATAACGCAGGTGCTAGAACAGCAATGTCTAACATAGTAATGTCTGTTACTGTCTTGGTGACTCTACTGTTTCTTATGCCATTGTTTCAATACACACCAAATGTTATATTGGGTGCAATCATAATAGCAGCAGTAATTGGCCTCATTGATATCCCTTCTGCTCGTCTCATTTGGAAGCTAGACAAATTCGATTTCATTGTGATGATGACTGCATTCTTTGGTGTGATTTTTATCTCTGTCCAGCTCGGCCTTGGTATTGCAGTAAGTTCATGGTTTCTGAAATTTGTCTCTTAATGCTTAGAGCTTATCTAGCAATCATTATTTTTATGGAATTGTTGTTATGTTAAGTGGCGGATTTTTAAATTTTGTTTTTTAAATAAGAAAATTGCTAGCAAGATACTTTTTCAAATATATTCGTTATTCACTCCCTAATATGGAGTTTTCACTTCAGTAATTTATGTTGGCCTTTAATGCAAATCTTATTATGTGGATTATTGAGCTAAAACTCTAATTCATGTTGAAAGATAATACCAAAAACAACTAGAAAATTGTATATAAGCTTTATTCTACATGATACTCAATAAGTTTCAATCCATAGTAAAGAATATGTTAGAGATGTGTTGCCAACACTCCTCAATTCTTGTTAGTCTGTGGCAACTATGAACCATTTTATTTTGCATAAATCATATTTCTGCATTTTAGAACTTAGATAATGGAATGACAAAATCCAGAGAATATTTTACCTGTGGAAGCTTTTAGCACCCTTGTTCACAAGTTGATAAAACAAAAAAATTAAGAGCTCTTCTTGTTTTGGTTTAACACTCTAATAGCTCTTCGATTAATCATTGTGATTGACTACGAAAATGCTTATCTTGTTGATCAGGTCGCATTATCAGTTTTCAGGATACTGCTTCAAGTTACAAGGCCAAAAACAGTAATGTTGGGGAAAATACCTGAGACAAACATATATAGAAATCTTCATCATTATAAAGAAGCTGTAAGAGTACCTGGTTTTCTTATTTTAAGTATAGAGTCTCCCATCAATTTCGCCAACATTACATATCTCAACGAGAGGTTTGTTTCATCTTTATATATTTTATGAAGTTTGTGAAACTTCTCTAGCTGCATTGGTTATTTCTTTCTCTGTTATTTAACCATTTGCATTTATTATCAGAATATTACGATGGTTAGAAGAAGAAGAAGCTAACAAAGAGCAAAAGCTTCAATTTGTGATTCTGGAAATGTCAGGTAACTACATCATCAATTTGTGAAACTGTAAAATTGGAACTTGGGAAAGATATTGTCTTGATTTCTTGTGAATCATGTAATCTCTATTTCTACAGTCTTAAAATTTACATGATTTACTTCAGGTTCAAAATAGCTGGAACTTATATATGTATTACTTAATGTTGTTGAACCTGGGAAAGGTTAGCACCATTAATACCCATATAAATGACTGAAAAGTATTCATGTAACTCTTCTCACCTCTCCTCACTAGTCGAGGTTAAGGGAAACTTAATGAAAAACTTAGCATTTTCATTCATTGAGGGGGGTTGAATTAGTTGTATTTTAGATACTCTATGTTGGACTATATTTACAGGATATGTTTCATGTGTATTGAAAATGAGATACACATTCAATAGCAACTAGCAAGAAATATATATCAATGATATGATCTTTGAGATTTTCAGCTGTGAGTACCATAGACACGAGTGGAGTCTCACTTTTCAAGGACTTGAAAACAGCATTGACAATGAAGGGTGTTGAGGCAAGAATGCTAAACTCTGACAAACTTGATTTATTTACACACCTTGACAGATAGGTATTTAATCTCAACTGTGACTCATTGGAATGATTGTGACAGCTTGTGATGGTGAATCCTCTAGCTGACGTCATAGAAAAGCTGAAAATAGCAGATAAAGCTAATGATTTCATTCGACCAGATTACCTTTTCTTAACAGTTACGGAGGCTGTCACTTCACTTTCATCAACAATGAAGGAGGGTCAATCACCAAGCGAGGAAAACCTGTAAGCGATTACGGGTATCCCGCAAATCCGAACCGATCTAAATTAATCCAACGAGTTCGAATCGGAATTTTTCACTATTTAGGTCAGTTCTAACCTAATTCTATCAAAATTTGGTAGTATACAAGTTAGGTAGGGGGTTTTATATTTTCAATCTCTTAGAAACCCGATAATATATAATATTAATAATAGTGTTTGAACGATTATTTACTTAAGATAATATTCACTATTCTTCTTATTTAGTAACAAATTTTGTATTTTAGATCGATAACATTATAATAATATAATATATTTATCTTAAATTTTATTTTATATTAATTAATGTTGATTTTTTAAGTTAATAATAATGTAACAAATTAATAAATTTATTTTAGAATTTAATTTATATCATTGTTTGTATTATAAGTTGATAACATTGAATTTATAATAATGTATCAAATGATTTACATCTATTTTAAAATATTTTAATTTTTACAAAAAATAAAAAAAAAATATAATTATATTGACCTGACTTAACCCAACTCAATCCTTTGTAATTAGGTTAGATTGGATTGGGTTTTTAAAAAAAATTGCACAAATTCAACCTAACCTAATCAGTTAAATTTTGATTGGGTTGAATAACAAGTTTATCCAAACCTGATCCAACTCAACCCAGTTAGACCCCTAACCATGGAAGAGGATCAGACAACTAATTAGTTACTTAAGATAGCAGAAAAAGAAATAAAAGTTAAAAAGAAGCAGCGGTGGCAAACTAGAATGGAGTTGGTATAAAATAATTAATTGAATTAGTTTAGAAAACTTAGTTTCACAAGGTATCTCCTTGTGGAATTGAAACTGTGTCCTAGAGTTGCTTCACAATCCAAAAAATCCTTGACCCTGACTTGAAGTGGTAACAAGTGGTCGGTTATAAACTTAGGCACGAGAGATACTGGCAACACATTTTGTAATATTTTCAAAGGTGAATTTCATTCCTTATTAAATGAATTCCCTTTCCAATAGTAGAGAGTGATTTAGATAAAAATGGGTTGAAAATATATTGCTAGCACTCCCCATTTACTCATTCAAGTTTAGTTCCTTCTACTTTTGAGCACCTCTGACTCAACAAAATCTCTTGCGAATATCAGATGTATAGAATATAACTTTTAAGAAAATTTGACTACTAAAAGTAATCCTGTTGTAAAATGGTATTAGAGACAGGGTATAAGACTAAGCAAAATATAATAGATTGAAATTAAAAAATTATTAAAGGAAGCAAAATAGATATACAATTAGTAATTAAATTATTTTTACACAGTTTTGCACACTTATAAAGTGTTAAACAAAAAATATACAAAGTCTCTCATTGGAGAATTTAAATAAAAAAGATATGCAGTCTCTCACTGGGCACAAAAATTATAATTTTACTGTGTGTGTCCCGATTATCTTTTTAGTGGTTGGGATGTCTGTACTACTAGTTTTACTACTTCCAAAAAAAAAATTGTTATACTGCACCTTATCTATGGTGAGAAAAGGTAGTATCAAACCAAAAAAATTGTTTAGGAAAGCTAGATTGCATACAACTAAACAAGTTTTAATTGAGTTTAAGATATTTGTTCTTACTGTTAGTTCATAAAATAGCAATAGCCAGGTAAATAACAGATTAGATTACTCAAATTACAATAAGGCCGTGTTTTGGAGGAGAATAAAGGAACGATTAAATACTATAAATAAAATATGTTAAAATTAAATAATGGTACATCCGTAATCTCGTTCATTGTTAAGTCATACCTTGGCTATTACACGCGCTTGCAGCATTGAGAAATATGATGGCATTTTAATCTCCGATTTTTAGTTCCTCAATTCATCTAACAAATATCAATTTTATTATTTCATATATTCATCTAACTTTTAATTATAAACAGTTTTAATTTAGCCAATTGATATGCACAAAAAAAAATTTAATGGTCCCAAAGATAAGGGGTTTGATGATAAGTTGATAACAGTGTGCAATTAATGTTCCGAAATTGCAGGTGCCTGGAGGGTGTGCATCAGAAAAGAGCAAATGAGAACATGGAGTATTTGAGATGAGAAGCATTGGCATTCAAGAAAGAAAACTGCCCTCAATTTCAAAATAATTTATATGTAAAATTGTTATATGCCTACTTCAAGAACTCTTGAGGTCATAATGCTTGGTTTTTAAGTAGTCAAACTAGGTACAATAGCAATGACTAGGAACCAATTTGGTGAATGCTACGGTGCTGTATGCATGTTAACAATTCCACTAAATAGTTGTATATACATTATACAATAATAGAAATTAAAAGAGTTGCCACTATTTATTGAGATAAAGAATATAGTTTATTTTGTCATTCTTTTTTGTCTTTAAAGCACAGATAAACTCATGTGAGTGGGTATGTTGCGCAGATACAAAAATTTTGTAAGTCATAGAGCATAACTACTTCTTTTGCATGATTATAATTTGAAACATGCAATGTGGAGTACGATGATAGGGGATTCAGGAGGATGGCATTTGCATTAAACATAATGTGTAATGGATTTTCACTCATTAAGGCATAGTGTGTCGCAAAATGTTTAGTTTTTAGTATGATACATCCATTGGCAATATAAGTCACATTCCAATCCTTCAATAATAAGAAATGTTTACAAATATATGATCTTTGCAAGTAGTTTTATTGAATTAGATGAGTTGAAAACTGCTTGAAAATCAACTTCAACGATTGAATTAACAAGCAACAAGTAGTTCCCATTTAAGTTATGACCACAATGCTTGCGAGGAAAATCAGAACCACACATGACAAAATTACATTTCACTTTAATTGTTTAAACTATATGATGTTACAGTGATTGATTTTATGCAAATTCTATGCTTGTCTTGCTGCTGCTTCTGTTTCGTTTTTTTACTTTTGCTTATATATTCTGCAGTTTTTATTTATCAATTACATGAGACAATTGTGTGTAGCCCTTCCGTAATGGTCGATGATTGGCCCTTCATTGCTGATGAGAGTGACGCTACAGCCTCTCCAACCGTCAAGAAAAGATTATCTACTCGAATGAAATCATTAGCTTCATCTGCCTTTTTCAGCTTTTCTATGACCTCGGAGAGAGGATTGACCAACACAAGCTGTCACAACTCAAATGAATTAGTCACGATTGAGATTTGAGACATATCTATCAAAAACTATATATGTTAAGAGTTTAGAATCCGTGCCTCAACACCCTTGTTTTCCAGCGTTGTTTTCAACTCCTTGAAAAGTGAGATTCCACTTGTGTCAATGGCACTCACAGCTGAAAATTCAATAGAGAAGTGATACATTATTTTTCTGAATGAGTGAGTACCGTTTGCAGGGTAACTAGGTAGATGAAATATGTTCAGTGATATGCTTGTATAGCCAGTGCACTGCAATGCACTCAACTGCTTCATTTTATGAAAAAAAAATGAAGTCTTACAAGTGATTATTATTTACTCCTCAACCTATCAAATAAGCAAGTTAGGTGCACGTATGGAACTTGATGGACATGTATGTTGAAAATTGGAGGAGAGAGCATCCTTAGATTACAGCAGGACTTCGATTATTTAAGATTGTCTTATTACCACTTTATTTTTCTTGGTTCAACAACCTAAAAATTAGTAATAAAGAACACAGGAAAAAATGTTTATGATTAGAGAAGTGATTCCCACCAGAAATTATGAACCGAATGCCACAATGCTATAGAAAGTATAAGATTCACCAGAAATGAAGACTATGAAGTTCCACCTTGTTGTATCAAAAACTAATCAAGTTACCTGACATTTCCAATATTAAAAATCGAAGGCTTGGTTGTTCCTTTATGCTGTCTTCCTCTTCTTCAATCCATCGTAATGTTCTAACATAACATGCCAATAGTTAAGTAATGGGAGGAACAACATCTATGTACCAAAATAAAATTTACATCATAAAATTTACAAAGTTGAAACAAACCTCTCATTGAGATATGTAATGTTAGCAAAATTGATGGGAGCCTCGATGCTTAAAATAAGAAAACCAGGTATTCTCACAGCTTCCTTGTATTGGTGAAGATTTCTATATATGTCTGTTCCTGGTATCTTTCCCAACATTACTGTTTTCGGCCTTGTAATTTGCAGGAGTATCTTAAAAGTTGATAACCCGACCTGATCAATGGCATTGAAACCCTTGTCAATCAAAAAGAGCTATATTTTGTTCTACTTGCAAAGAAGGGACTAAAAGCTTCCACACAAAATTTCTCTGCATTCTAGTCACTTCCTTGTTTAAAATGCAGAGATATGATTTATGCAAAAGCTCTTGGTCTTGTTAGACAAGAAATACAAAAAGCTTATAAATAGCTATTAGTGTCAAGAGAATTAAAACTGTCTAGAAAAATTATAGGTGTAGCCTTGTAGGCATTGTACAAAAAGGCAAATTCATGGTAATAATGTTCACAATGCGAACATTATGAGCAAAAACTGAATAAATAAATGAACTTACAGCAAGAGCAAGGCCTCCCTGGACAGAGATAAAAAGAACACCCAAGAAAGCAACCAACATCACAAGGAAATCAAATTTGTCTATCCTCCAAATGTTACAAGCAGCAGGGACATCAATGAGGCCGATTACCGCTGTGACTATAATTGCACCCAACACGACATTAGGTGTGTATTGGAACAATGGCATGAGAAAAAGGAGTGTTACCATGACTGTCACAGACATCACTACATTTGACACAGCTGTTTTTGCTCCTGCATTGTTATTAACAGCTGACCGAGAGAAAGCACCTGAATTTCATAGTTTAAATGAGTAAATTTTATGCTTCATAAGCTTAGGAAAAGCCTTTTTGTAAAAGGTTTTTAGGTTGCAAACAGAAACCTGTTGTAACATAGCAAGAAGTGAAAGAGCCAACCACATTCATAAATCCAATTGCCATCATTTCCTTATTTCCATCAACTTTGTAGTTTCTAAGAGCTGCAAATGTCCTTCCTACTGCAATACCTTCCTGTTAAAAAAATCAATGTCGATTATTTTTACCAATAAAATCAGTTATACATGTGTAAATATCATGTTACTTCTACTTTTGTACCTATGTCAAAACTATAAATATAATTAATAGACTCTCAAACATTTTAGGTTTATTCCACTAAACAATGAATGGGAAAGTGACAAGAATAAGAATAGGATCCAATGAATTTTGCATATAGTCTGGTGGAAAGGATGTTATCAACATTTTTCATTAAAAATTATTTTCAGATGTTTACAAGTCCACTGCAGGACTAAAATAAATAAAATTAAAGAAGTTTGGAAAAAAATACAAAAAGGGAAAAGAAAAATATGAAACTTACAGTGAGGGACAAAATTCCAGTGATAATCCCAGTTTTCATGACTAGGCCTAGGTGACTTCCATGTAAAAGCAACATATTCCATGAAGGAGGATTTATTCCTTGTTGCAATTTTCCAATCTAGCAACAAATTGAAAAATCAGTAGACAACAATATATTTATTTAGTAATTAAGCTGACAGTTATTTTTAAGCGGCTCAAAAACTTAGTGCTGGACAAATAATGATTTCAGAAGCAAAAAGAGTTGGGATAAGAACAATGACTTACTACACTGATGCCATGATTTTGAGCCTTAATTGCAAAAACCAGAAGAGTAGAAATGATGACAGATGCAAGAGGAGCTCCAGCTGAGACCCAGAATAGTTTTGGTTTTCTGATACTCTGCATGTATTTATTTTCATGAATTAGTCAATAATACTTGCATGACTGCATTAGTTTTGACTTGTGAAAGAAGTTGCCTATGCATGTCATTTTAGTTACATGAGTAGACTATACAATTAGCCTATTATTTTAAACAGTTTTCAGCCTCGAAGAAGATCTTCAATTTTATAGATCTATTTTCAATTACAAAGTTAATAATGGATACTTTCGAAATGATAGTAGGTTTACAAGAACATTAAAAAGATGTTGAGGTTTGATTTTTATTATATAAAAAAAGAGCTAAAAGTAACGCATAATACATTTTGTTAAGTTTGAATGAATTTATGTTATGGATCTTGTTGAAAAAAAATTATATTTTTTGTTGTGAAACTTAGCATAAAATAATAATAAAAAAAGTATATAAAAAACTATTAACATTCTTTTTATTATTAAAGTGTACAAATGTATAATTTATACCTATATATAAAAATAATTTTTTATTTTCATATATATAATTTTTAGACTGTTTTACTTTTAAATTTTTAAATAATAAAAAATATTATTATATAATTAATTAATTTTATGTGTATATAACTTTGAACTTTTTTACCTTTGAATTTTTAATAATAAAAAAATAATATCAAAAATTAATTATTTTTATAAATCTAAAATTTAAATCCAAGACTTTAAGATTTAAAACCTATTTATAACATCAATTAATTTAATAAGTATTGATAACTTTTAAATATTTTTAAATAAATATGAAGGTACAAAATTTTTCGTTCTCACTGAGAAATTCTAAAAGAGATTAAAACAAGTATGAAGATATAAATCACTTCAATTATACCAATAAATTCCAATGAAGATTGATTTATTATCAATCTTGATCAATTGAATGGTTGATGTATGACTTCTAATTTTTGCGTTGTTGGACTAGTTTGTAGAATTTATGAAAGAAAAAAAAAAAACTGACATAACTTATTTTAAATGATTTTTTATGTCAGGTTAAATCATGTGTTCAATGACAAAAGAATTTTTTTTTGTTTTCTGTGCTTTTTTGATCGTGATAGCTCAATTTGCAGTCTCGTGCAGTTAGAGCCGACAATTTTCCGAAAATTTGGTCGTTAAATGGGTTTGAATTTGGATATGAATATTTATTTAAAAAATTTTAAAGGCTGGATATATGAACAATTACTTTATAACCTACATTCACACATATTTAACATATTAATTTTATAATAAAATTTACTGTTATACTTATAGTTTTTAGAGTTTTGCAGTCATAATGTAAAAATTTTATTTTAACTGCTTAATCTTCTCATATTAAAATTGAAAAAATTAATTCTTTATCGTTGCTTGATATCTTCAATTCCATGGTTTACGTCCAATGTTATTGTAAGACCATTCTTAAAAGTTTTCTTAAAAAAAAACATTGTTTGTTGATTATTTATTTTGTAGTTATAGAATATAAATATATTTTGTCTTTTTAAAATATAAGTTTCTCATTTTATATTATAACTAATGATTTGTGCGTACTCTTGTATATATTATTATTATTATTTATAAATTGTAAAAATCTTAATTATTAATTTTTTTTAAGCAAATCTTAACTATTAATTAAGTAATTATAAAATTATAATTATTTATTTTAAATTTTAAAGTATAATTTTTTATTTTATATTATA